ATCTTTAAATTTGGTCCAGTTCTGTTCTGAGCAAAACTGAACTGTCTTGTTATGAAAACAATTACAACAATATTCAAATATGATTGATATTGGATATTCAATTAAAAGTAATTTCAAAAGTAAAAACACAGGACCACAGATGCTGAAGATAAGCTTTAAACAGAAATACTTGAAAAGCCCAATTCCATCAATATTTGTTAAGCCATTATGTAATTAGTTCTAAAAATGATCAAATTGCCATCTCACGCATTAGCACCTATCCCCTGTTTACGATTTATTATTTTCTATCACCCAGTCAAACATAAATATATTGGTGTCATTCCTGTTTTTGTGACGTGCCAAATGTTCATGATGCAGACCTTTTATAGGACTCTGAAATGCTAGACTTACATGAAATGGTCACGAAACACAAGAGCCGAGCAAGAATTAAGCTTTTCTGTCGTGTCTGCAGAGATCACCTTCTCCCTGTCATGGCCTGAGGCTGTTCCCTTCTCAAACTGCCCCGACACAGACCAGTCCTCCAACTGACGCACTGACACATTAGTTTTATATTTATTCATACATTTTCATTCTACTGCCACATTAGGCTAATAATATAAAATGAGTAGGCCATAGTGTCCCAGCTTTTGGCGTGGCTCACAAAGTAACTTTCCTGTTCACCATTATAGCCATGTTATGAATGCAGGCGTTTCCGCAGAGCACCGGAAAAATGTTTGAATACACTATTGTTTAACTTCAGTGTTGACGAACAGAACGGGTGTTACTGGTTCCAGTGTCTCCCTGACAACAGGTGTCAGCCATGTCCAATGTGAATATAACCTATAACAATACATCGACCAATACACATCAACTTATGATATATTTATGACACATTTTCCGCCAGAGTTGTAATTTTGTAGAGACATTCTTTGTCAAATAAAGAGGTACTTAGTGAGTCTAGTAAAAAGGGGGGCGTGGCAAAGCTCGTCTGCATCTGTTATTGCAATCACAAGACTTTATCAGTATCATTCTAACTGAAAGGAAACTTCTGATAAATGGGTTCTGAAGATGGCTCTGTAGCTGAAACATGCTAACAAGATTATGTAGCTAACTTGTCTTTCAACAAAAAAAAACATGACAGGAAACTTTCACTCCCTGCCTTTTTTACGTTGTCCACATCCAGAAAAACATTTCAATCAAAATAATCATGTTGGACAAATCAGGGTCCATACATACTGTACACCCAAAAAAAATAATTTACCACCCAAACCACAAAATAGTTCCATTGTCGGCTTTCCGTCTTTTTCATCAAGTTCTTTCACAGTATGTCCACATCTTTGACAGTGTCTCGGACAATAAAAGGTCTATTTATCATCTATCTTTTGACTGAGGATTTAAAGGAAACTTGACCTGGTTATGAACTAGAATAGGCCTATTAGGTTTAATCCCCAGCATAAATAAAGCAACTGGCCATCAGACTATGCCAGTGTCATGACCACCTAGAGCCGCCATTCACTGCGTACATCAGATAGTATTGTTCCGTATAATTGCATGTTCAGTTATGTTATTATTATGTCACAGTGGACCCTGATCCTTGGCTGTGAAAGGGTAACAACGGTCATGATCCTTTTAGCGCAGTAGGCCAGTGCTCAATTATTCAACAAACTCAGATCTTGTTTCATCAAAGCATCCCAAAGTCAATGCCGTTGTGTCACTTGCAGAATGCAGCTAAAATGTACAAAGGCTAACATTAGTTTGATTATTAAGCACATACTGTATATATTGAGGTCTATGGATTAAACACATACAATGCATTATATTGCTGTTGTCTAAATGAAAAAGTGAATTTATATCATATCATAAAACTGGGGTACCCAACAGTCAAAACACAAAAGTAGAAGGATGCTGCAGAAAACTAGGTGAAGACATGGGAAGAACATGCATAGGAAAGTCTGGACGTGGAATCGGACCCAGGATCTTATTGCTGTGAGGCACAAGCACAACCCACTGCACACACCTTACCGCCCCAAGTTGTATCACTTGTTTTTTCACATGTATGCATTAGTTCATTGAGACATGTATTGTTTATGAATAGAAGTATTAGGTACCCCAGCCGTAAATCTTGATTGTACAAATTGTGGCTCTTAAACTAATAATTACTTTTTTTATTATTGTGTTTGATCCAGTGCCCGTAGAAGTGAATGACTCTTCTCTTCTCACAGTCTGACCCACGATCGCTGCTTCATGTTTGGTCATTCATTCAGAGGAAGAAATGCGTGGTTTTATTTAAATGTATTCAAATAGCCACAACAAAACTCGCTGTGTGTATAGACATCCCACATGTTCTCATAGACTGACAGGACAAAGGCTGATTGTCACCACAGACTGACAATTCCTGAGATTGTCCCTTTGACAACTCCGCTCACATATGCACTTATTTACGGCTGTATTCTACACTTTTGGAGAGAACAAAAGACCGATAGAAATCCACTGTCAAACCTAACCCCATATTTGATGCACTTTCTTTGTGGTTTGCTGACACTGGGGAAATTTTCTCTGCTTCTTGTTCTTGTTCTCAAGAAGCAAGAGGGTTTTGCTGTTCGGTTGATGTTTTGAGAGGTTTTGTTTGCAGATGCATCCAAATGTTATTTCAATGGCTGTAACTGTACTTGTATGTGCCTGCCAAACAAGGACCACAGGTGTAAATTAGCACTGCTGCTACAACCTGGTACAAAGCATCTCTCCTCTTGGCTAATGTTTAATGTACACTGGCCCTGAAAAAAAAAAAAAAAAAAAAAACCATACCATACCATACATGCCAAATTGCAAATAAATCTATGTATTTATCCATCAGAGGTTTTTGTGCTGCTTTACAATCTTGCTTTTTTCCTGGAAACTCCTCATCTCCAGTGGACTCCTCTGGTCTTTTCTGTTTTTGGAGCACGCTCAGTCCGCTCTCTGCATTTAATTTTTTTTGCCTCCCACACACGCTCTTTTTCCTGGCCGTCCCTTTTAGTAAGTAAGTAAGTAAGTTTTTATTTATATACCGCCTTTTCACTGCAGATCTGAGTCTCAAAGCGGTTTACAATTGTTAATTTTTGGGCATTTTGTCTCTCACTCCACACAGAGATGGGAGTGGGGTCGCCAGTACAGGAGGCGCATGCCAGAACTATTGGACATATTTTTAGTGGTAGGGGAAACCGGAGCACCCGGAGGAAACCTACGCAGACACGGGGAGAACATGCAAACTCCACTCAGAAAGGCCCTGGTCCGACCGGGATTCGAACCCAGGACCTTCTTGCTGAGAGGCGAGAGTGCTATCCACTCAGCCACCGTGCCGCCCGTGCTTTTCCTTTGGTGATATTTATATTTTCCCAGAACAGTAATATTTTTGATTTGCGATAGCATGTAACTACAGATGGGACGACCCCACCCCGGAAATGGAAAGCATGTATAGATCAATTTAATTTTTACAGATTTACTTTTGTTTTTGCAGCTACAGCTATAAGCAAAGTGAGGGCTTTTCAAGTGTAAACACGTGGGGGATTTAGCTTTATCTGCACATGTTTTAGATCTACTGAAACAAGAACTGGTCCTCTTTTTGTCTTTAACATCCCCCCCTCCTGTTGCACAACGTGTGGGTGGCAAATCAGTGTAATCATGCTGTAGCACAAGAATGTACGTTCTGTAAATGTCTTTTCATCTCACAGCTGCGAGCCACGACCGTCTCTACTCAGTTGAATACGTTTTTAAGGAAAAGTGGTTTCAATTCTATCAGACCATCATGGGGGAAAAAAACAAATTGTAAACTGTTGAGTTACCGCTACAGACTGTTTTATTATTTCATGAAAGGCTCTCTCTCAGTGGAGGTGGCAGCTGTATTGTGTGTCTGAACAAACGTCTCTGTAGGGATTGCATAGTTCTGATTTGGATAATGTGGTGTGTAAAGTGTTGAATAAAAAATAATTAAATACTGTATGATCAATTTGCTCATTTGCTGTGAACATTCATTAATTTGTTAGTGCTTATGGAACAATCTGTTTTAATTGTTTTATTTTCTAATTTTCTATTGGCAAAAATAAATATTGTGGTCCTTCCAGACTGTTTAGTTTTTGGGCACTTATCTTTTCCAGTCCTGTGAGTCATTGTTTGTTCGTTGGGCTGAAAGCTGATTGACCGAGGCCCCGTTTAGATGGAGACTCTGCAACAATAAATAAAACAGTAGAGTTTGGCCTCCTGTTTACATGAAGACGGTGTTTCAGGTGAAAATGCAAGCGTTGAGAAACAGCCTCCAGAGTGGAACAGGACAGATCCGCTGCTCAGCGGGGGCTGTTTCTCAGCTGTGTGAAGAAAAAGGTGTGAATTCTCTGCTGCTCTGACCTCAGCACTTTCCCGCACGTACATTTCGCAGTAGCCAAGAACAGACGTAAACAACAATGGTGACGGGTGCACTAACGCTAACGTGTGCTTCGAGGATTCTACTCCTTCATTTGTCAAAATGAAACCAAGCAAAGCTCTTTTTTCAATTTCCATTTTCGCAGCTGCTGTTAAATGCAGAATGATGATCATCTTTGCAGTGGCCAGAGGAGGATGTTGTTGAGAAAGTGAATATACTGCTGGGGGTCGTGTTTCAACGTTCCACTGCCCTCTACTGGCCGGGCGCTAGAACAACTAGAACTTTTAGGCGCCGTCTAAACCCTTCGCAGGAGCCTGGTCGTTTTTGTTAACTGATTGGCAGCATCTCCGTCTAAACAGGGCCTGAGTGACGGTGATCCTTTCTTTTTAGTTTTTCACACCAAAATACATGCATCTAAAAAATCTAGTAACAAGTAATATAACGAGATGGTTTGGAGACCTCGAAACATGTGTGACATGGGTACATTTAGCAACGTTAAATTAGGTACCCTAGCTTTAGTAAACCACTACCACTACTTCTAGTCTAGATAGCTGTGTAAAAAACTCATTCATAGCTTTTCACTTGTATTGGATCTGGCTGATGTTGTTCCCATGTTTTCCTGCAGGAGGCTCAGGCGCTGATGGAAGCGGAGGCCCAGGCACAGAGAGCTCTGGCCCAGACCCCGGACCTGTGCCCTCGCCTGTGTCACATGACCCGCGCCGACACGGGCTACGGCTTTAACCTGCACAGTGATCGATCCAGACCGGGACAGTACATCCGCTCCCTGGACCCAGACTCGCCCGCGGATCAGGCCGGGCTAAGACCACAAGACCGGATCATCGAGGTGAGAGAGGGAGAAGACGGTTTAGTGCGGATAAAACATTTGAAAACACTATTTATTGCAATAAACTATGATACTGAAAGTTATTAATGACATAATACCTCCACAAATACGTCTACAGAAAGATATTTCAAAAAGAATTGTTTGAAAAATCACGGTATAAAGTACGATAACAAAGTTGCAACAATACACAGCAGTCAGAACCAGTACATACTTCACTGAAAACACAGGAGTATGAGTAATAATCTCTAAACAATAATTGTTTAGCTCCAGAATGTACTGTTTTAGCTGTGATTGTTAAATGATGAGTAAAGGTAGGTTGGTTGATAGTAAAGGTATTGATTGTGTGTAGGTGTTTTTTTCTGCTCATGAGGTGAGAAGGTTTGAGTGCAGGCACTTTGTTGGAGAGAGTGAACTGTGATTCAGAGATGAGGGTCCTTCATATTGAAAAGCCTAGAAAATGTTTGTATTCTTCAACAACAGGACAAAGAAACAAACAGAAACCATGTTTTAACAGTGGAGACTCGATAGACAGCGTTGATATCCCTGTCTGTATATTCCTTCAGCTTCTGCCCCACCTGATCAAACCCAGATGTGCAGCACTTGTCTAAACTCAGCTGTAATTTACAAGCCTCTCACTGGTGACTATCAAGGCCCTTTGTAAACACAGGAGAGCAGAGGCCAGCGACAGGGAGCTATCAGGGGCTGATGGGAACAGTGGGGGACACATGTATGTAGACCTGTGCAGATCTAAAACAAATGGACGGATATGTTGACACAGGTGGCATTAGAAAACTGGTTAGAAAAACAAAAAACTGGATATTATGGGAACAAATAATTTGCGTTATTGACTTAAATTTAGTGAATTTAAAAACCTTAAAAACTGAGATGCTTTAGTCAAAATACTCAGGGCTCCAGAGTGTACATTTTACATAAGTCCATCTCTGGGCTGAGAGACTTGGGTATGCATCCTCAAAATAAATGACAGTCTCAGTCAAAGCTGTGCTGGTGCACCTGTATAAGAAAGTTCAGTGCACCAGTGTAACGTCCAAAACTGTTAGTCCGGAGCCCTGACTGCATCCTCATCTACTTGTATCATGCGTTTATTTACTAACAAAATGTTCTTTTCCTTCATTCGCATGACCGTTGCCTTCGCTAGCTGTACTCCAGGCCCCAAATTATTCAATGTGATTTCTTGGTTTTTTTAATATGATTTAAATTACTACTGGAAGAATGTTTTATTTTTTAGTGGTTTCACATTTTTGCCCTCGTTGGTGCAATTAAAGTGAACTCTGGTCCAATACTTGGGACTGAAGTGTGAACGCGCCCTTCAACTCTGAAGGATGTGCAGTCAATATGAGCTCATGGTATACAACTTATATCTGCTTGACATAATAATCTGTACAATGACACAACTTTACATACACTTTCAATAATACTGTTTTTGCTGCTCATAATGCCTTTTAGTACTGTATGCTATAAAAGGTGTCACTCTTGCATATTCAGTTACAGTACTCTCACAAACAGCGGTGGTGAGATCAGCTTAACAGTGAAGTTTTCCCTGTTATCGTGTTGTCTTGTTTGATGATTCTACAGTCTTCTAAAGAGGCAAATGTGAATTTAGGCATGATGTGGTAGGAGATGACAATGAGGGTTTTGTAGACCGGGTTAAGATGTCGGGGTTAAACTATACAAACAGGCCAACGCTTGGGGAACAATATTAGGCATCTGAAGTTCAGTAATATAATACATTAGTGGCACATTAGTTTCACATTGATGCCCTGGTGTTCCGCCTGCTGCAGTGGTCTGTGATCACAGATCCTGCTCTACTCTTATCTGTCAGTTTGTCAGCAGCTCATTAGCACACTAAATGACCATGACGCTCTGTCTGTGATGCCCGAATCACACGCCTCATGCTACTGCCATCGTGCACTATTACACAGGGGTTTCTGTCAGTGCTTGGCCTGATTTACTTAAATGTCACATGCAGGACGGTGTGTGCTGAAGTCTGGATCACATCATCACCTTTTCAAACAGAGAGCCTCACACTCTTCTCGGGGACGAGACACTGTGGAGAACAATCATATATTTTGCGGACATGAAGTTAGAGCCTTGGCCTGGTTTGTCTCTTCTACAGTTTAGACAATGTACTCTTCTTAACAGATTTGTTATTCAAGGCCACTGGAGTCTTTGGGGATATATCACAGTTGTTTGCAGTTATCCCATGGTTTGACCACAATCTCGGGCCACCAACGTCATTCTAAAGTTAAAAACAACAACATTTCACTGTTTTGTGATTGTGCTAAATGAGTGCATAGTGCGTTTAAAGCCCTGATGTAAACTCCATCAGTGGTAATTCTATTCCCCTACACACTTGGATTAGGAGGTTCTCAAAGGATGGGCCTGTCCCATGAGAAAGTGGCCTCTGCGGCTGCACTATGTATTAATTAGCTCAGTGACAGCGGCTGCACTGAGCCCTGTGAAGGGAGGGCCCTCTGCTGTGGCTCCAACACCTGTTGTTTGGACAGAGACAGAGATAATCTGGATCTGCCGCTCCGACAGGCAGACTAAACTCTTAGTTATTGTTCGAGCGTCTTTTTCCTTTTCTTCTGTCCTGGTGATACAATCCACCTCTTTCTAAAGATCTAAATAAAACCTGTTAAAAAAGTATGGCCTTTTGTCACTTGCAAAGCACTGTGGCTTTTCATAAGAAGTTAATTTTGCACAAATTTTCCCAAGGGCTGTGATATCTGAAACTACCTATAGCAGGAGCCCTGTTGAATAATAGATTGACTAACAGCACTAACTTGTGTTACAAAGGAAATATTTCTGGAGCAACTCAGTGTCTGTGAATGTCTAATAAATAGTTGACATTAAAAGACTTGAAATTGTCATCCTTTTGTTAATTATTTTCACCGTAAAACAGCCACGTTCTACAGTCCCAAAACAATCTATTATTAATGATATCAACGTAACATGACTCGAGTCTCGCGCACGGATGAGATTAGTTGGGTTATTGCTCCCTCTGCTGGTGTTATGTCGAAGCACGTTTTAATTGAATCTAATAAATACATACACATAATTACCAAGGCCAAGATTCGAAAACAAAAGGAACCACTTTATTTTATTTATTTAGTTATATACACACACACACCACTACGCTAAATATGTTTTTATCAAATGTTACAGACACAGGCTGATTAGTGTCCTGCCACCCCCCACTTTTGTATTATAGCGAAAAATGATAGTCTCTTTCTTGGTCCAGGTCAATGGTGTACACATTGAGGGCATGCGGCATGCAGACGTGGTGGCTTTTATCAAAAGAGGAGGAGACGAGACGTGGCTGCTGGTGGTGGACTCAGAGACGGACGAACACTTTAAGACGAGAGGGATTACACCCACAGTTAGTCACGTCAAAGGTAATGCTCTGTACACTGTCATGTGTCAATGTCATCTCTTGGGAAAGCAGGAAGCTCTGGAAAGATTGATAAATTGCATAAATGAATCAATGATCAAATATGTAATACCATCTTGTATATCTGTTGCAGACTATGACGGCCCTCCTGTATGCAACGGTCAGCTCAGTCCTCAGATCAATGGAGGCTCCAGCACACAGTCCATCCGCTCCACACAGTCTGACCTCAGCAGTCAGGGCACCAGCACCCAGGTGAGCTGCTTTGAACAGCTCCTATTGTCATTTTAATAGAATGCTACTTTGTACACCAGATGGCAGTATTGTGTACAATTGTGGACACAGATCATTGAACAGGGTTAACTATTAAAGTAAGAATATGTAATATTTGCATGTCAAGTCATCATTAAATGGCCCCAATATTTCAAAAGGCGTTATTAAATCATGCTCTTTTCGAATACATCTTTAACTGATAACAGTAGTTCAGCCGAGATATTTGAATATCAGAATTAGTTTTACGACCCGTAAAAGTTGTTATTGTTTTCATTCCGATGTCCTACCCTCCGCCGTTTCGCCAATAAGGAAGTCTGAGGTCCGGGTTGCCACAACTCCCCGCGGCTAGCTAAAATAATAATAATAATGTGGCCGCAGAACTAAAAGAGGTCTTGTTATGATTCTCAAATCATTAATGACAAAACAAAGACTAAAACGAGGATTTATATCGGGAAGCCTTTGAAAACTTGAGACAATTGAAGGCGGATACAAACTTTCCGTGATGCAGAACTTGCTGCGTTGAGTACCTTCCTCGACTGCCTGGAGTCCAGTATTTCTTATATGCAAAGGTGGCTAATGGTTAAGCCATAGCGCTGGTATCCTAGCGGATGGGGTTCGAATCCGGGCGATGTATGTTTTGGATTAAACAATATATGATTCATTCTAAAAACAATCAAAGGTAAAAAGTAGTCGTTATTTGCAGATTAAAGCTTAATTGTAATAAGAATCATTTGAGACCACATGCACCCAATTGAAATAATGTTAGTCTCTTTCTTATGTGGGACTTTTACATGTTTGTCTAAAAAATAGGGAATAAATGTAATTGAAGGGTAATATCCTCTGGAGGAAACACTGAAGTTGATACGCTGAAGAAATATGTTCCAACATCCATTCTTCCCACTCCTATTTTGGACATCAATTGCTTATTTATTTTGCATAATCAATGTATAATTACATTGCTTTTATTTTGTTTTTCTCATCTCAAATGGTCAAATAAAAAATTATTCATTCAACATTAGCACGGCTATCATGGCAACGTGAATGGAGACAGACAAACAACTGATAAAATAATTCCTTGTGTTTGCTGCTGGTTTTGGTGTGTATCTGGCAACCTGAGTCAGGGAGAGAGGGAGAGGACTACAAAATATTGACAGTACCACTTTTGGCCAGATTTTTACATATTGCTCCTTTAACTATTCTAAACGCTTGAAGCAAAAACAATTACAATCTTTCAATATTGTCTTTCCCATAATACTCTATCATGACTTATAAACACAGGTATGTAATGATCCTTTGCACCTCTCAAATGAATCTGATTTGTCCTGTGCTTGTGTCCAGTTGGCGGATGACGAGTGCAGCCAGCTGCTGGACCCTTTCTCTGAGATGGGCTTACGGCTCAGTGCTACAGCGGCCGAAGAAAAAATGAAGCTTCATGCCAAAGAAAAGCGGAAAGCACCACAGATGGACTGGATGAAGAAATATGAGCTTTTCCGAAATTTCTGAGGCGATACTTTGAAGGTCATTCACAAAATAACTTTTTCCTCCTGTTCCAAACTGAAGACAATCTCTTCCTGTGTTGAAATGTGACCAAAAGGATGTGAAGCCACTTCACAGACAGATACACACATGTTTACCTTGCCTAAAAGTGAAATACTATTTTATGAAGAATATTTTATACAATTGTAATGTTTCCGAGAGATGAAAAAGGGTCATTTTTGTTTATTTGTTTTGTGAAGGAATTGTACAATTGTTTGTACAGGTTTAATGTTGACAATTGTGGACAACACACTGTGAATGAACTCCTTTTAACCAATATTCAGTGAAAATATAACAAATGATCATTTTGACACATACTAACATTTATGAATATATATTCATAAAGTATTATAATCTTGTATGTATCAAAGTAACACATAACATAGGAAGCACCACTAACAGGACAATCTTGCGAAGGTGAATTGAATGTATTAGAAGCCTAAAAACTCTGTACAGCCAAACATACAGAAAATAGATAAAACACTTTAAATAAAAACATATCTTTATCTGATCAGCTCGCTATTCTAAAGAAGGAACGTGAATTTGAATACAAAACTGATGCATTGCAAAGAGAATAAGCTTTTAATATGAAGAACAATACGTGCAGCAACAGATAAAACAAGGGAAAGTCAAGTTTACATTGGCTGCGTTTAGAAACACAAAGAAGTAAAGGAAATGGTAAATAGGATGAGGTCACGATGATGTGTCGGGCGACGACAGGAGCCACAGAGCTTACAGTGGATTACTCCAGCTGCGCTACATATGTTCACACGCTTTGGAAAGACCGTGGAAACAAACATGTACCACTCTCAGGCCACACACAGACCTGGCCATCAACAAGCGGTTTCACTACTCAACTTATGTTTTACTGTATAATTACACTCATCAGCACCAGATGGCAGTATTGTGTAAAAATGTCTACACGTGCAGTTTAGATGCTTTGACTTCCCCCTCCACAGACACTTCCGCACGATCAATGTCCAATTTCAAACATTAGGGAATCATTGTTTTCCCCTAAATGTCATGTGAACAGCGATTTATTAGTTTATATAAAATAGTAGTTTCATGCTGACAAAAAAAATATTTTCTTTTTTGCGGAGGTTTGTTGCCACCAGTCAATTGTTGCACAAAAAAAGTTAAAATGTGAATTTAAATGTAAAATGATATGAATGTTAAAAAAGTCGCAAAATTACAATTTCATGCAAACTTAATCGTTCCTTCCGGGCACATATCTGGCTGCCTGAATCTCACATTTTTATATTTCATGTTTGTTCAACTTTGTGTTACACTCTGAGAGATATTCCAATCCAGATCATCTTCATTGTACATATGTAAACAAACATTATATTGCATTTTTAATTAAAGCGTGATATTTAAATGTTTGTCTTTTCTCCTTTTTCTGTCCACCTGAGCTTGAGCTGTAAGTGTTTCTTTACCCCTGGATCATCAGCAGCAGTACAGTCTCAGTTTTCTCAGAATTCTCCATTGAGCAGCTGCTATGAGCTCAGGAGGAGGTTAGACTAAGGTCAGAACCGTGCGTGTGCGTGTGCGTGCGTGTGTGTGTGTGTGTGTGTCTGGTGTGAAGCAATGACCCTATTATAGCCTATTGTTATGAACCTTGGAAGTTGTCAACATCGTTCAACAAATGATTGTTTCTTTCTCGTATCATTTTTGGAGTGTCTGTAGAATAGTCAAAAGATACAAATGAGTGCATAAGTTCACAGCTGTTCTAGCAGGAAATATAGCATATTTATAGACCAATTACGACAGATGTCATTTCTGAGCACGCTTTTTGAATAGCCTGCAAAATGGATAACAATAATTGTAAAAGCGAAACATATTTACAGATGACTTTACATTGTAAGTTTATCATGTATTTTTCTGCGACATTCAATTTATTCTTGTATAGCCCTAAATCACAACAGTAGTTATCTCAGAGGACTTAACAAAACAAAACCGTTGAATTGGCCAAAACAGATCAGAGAATCAAACAATTCAAACACAAGAAATGCAATGATCTAAAAGAAAACACACATTGGTATTAGTCCATATGGGACACATGACCAATGTCCATTAATGTTGAAAAATGTCCACAAATGTTGTTGAAGGTTGTGTGTCCTGGATCATCACCACTGTACTTTAGTTAGACCCAGACCCTCCTGCATCGGCAAAGGAAAAACTATAACATGCAACTGTATTGTTAAAACAAATGTGAAGGCCATCCACTAGAGGGCGCAACACCACAAGCAGCGTGTTCATGGGTGAAATCAATAAATAGTGCATGTTTGCGGACATGTGGGGGTCCAGGCGCAGGTGGGTGCATTATGAAAGTGGACTGGATAAGGTGGTGACGGCAGCACATCAAAGTGCTGTGTCTGGTTCAAAGCGCCAGTGTGCAATTTCAGAGCTGAAGAATAGAGCGCTACAGGTGGGCTCTTTTAATCCACCTCTGCGCCTGTGTGGACATTTCTACTTCCTTTTTGATGATAGATGATTGCATTTCTCCTTCCTTTAACTTTTCCTTGAACGGTTTTGTTGTTGAAGGCCCACAATGCTGGATCTGTGTCATCAGGTGAAAGATGTAGGGTTTTTTGATCTACTTAATGTATCCTGATCTATTGTAATTATTTGACTCTTGTAATCTGTTTGCCAGTAGTTGGGAGGTTGGCTTATGTATAACATTTCATATTTGCATTTATCAAAGCACTCTAAACCGCACTGACACACTGTATGCAGAAAATGGACCTCCGTCCTTGTCCTTTATATTGACTTTGGCAATAAATTATGTGTCAATATCATTTAGAAAGTCTTTATGTTTACTTTAATGAAACAAGTACCAACTTATCAGCTCAAATTATTATTATTATTGTAGACTATAACAGCTGTCTTGTAAAAGTATGGTATCATTTCACATTTTAGCTTATAGGGTTTTAGTGTGGAATAAACCCCACATCTCCTGAACAAACAACAATAAAAAATTTGATCATCTTTCGTTTCCATTGCCTAACATGTTGCCCTAGGATGTGATAATGACGTCAAGGCTTTTGCATAAGACAAGATAAAAGCACCTTTATTTGTTGCTGAGTGGGGAAATGTCAGCGTTGCAGCTCACATTACACAACAGGAACAAGAACAGGAGCAAACACAATCGGATCAATGAATAAAAACAAGATAAATAGCCGTGTATTTAAAAAATAACACATATCAGCTCCTGAAAAGTATTAAACTATAATTAAACATGGGAAAAAGTAGCTCTTTAAAGTAAGTACAGTACACTCTAGAACGGACAGTGGGGTTTCACCGTCATATTTGCAGTGACCTTTACGACTGTTTATGTACAGCATGAAGGTATGGGCCGAATAAACAGCGGTTGCGTTCACCGTTCTGGTCTGGTTCATGTTAACTGGACCAAGCCTTGTTCACTTTAACTGGAACAAGCCTGGTTCACTTTAACTGGAACAAGCCTGGTTCACTTTAACTGGAACAAGCCTGGTTCACTTTAACTGGAACAAGCCTGGTTCACTTTAACTGGAACAAGCCTGGTTCACTTGGGAGAAAACATGCTTCACAAAAGATGTGAACTGCTCAGTGGTAGACACAGTTTGGTTGTTTTACAGCAACAAATTGAATTTTTTTGCCCAATGAGAACCAGAATTGGTCCAGTTCAAATGACCAAGTGTGAACTTGCCCTCCGACACCAGATTGCACATTCTTTCTGTCAGCATTGCACATTAATACTGCAGGTGATGGAGGGATAAATACAAACAGATAGCTGTTTAAGACTCTGGACTAAATGTAAAGAACTTGAACTTTAAAATGGTCATGTTGAATCTGGTTTGTTCTGCTATTATTACAATAAAGTCACATAATGTATGAAATGTGCCATTTATATAAATGTTTTTCTCTTTCCTGTGATATTTGTTGTTTACCCTAAAAATCCTCACATTCTTAGGAACTATTAAACCTGAGCTATCGTCTGTAACTTCTCTCTCTCTGCCATCCCAGGCCGGTGCCCTCCGATCCGCCGCCACTTCTGCACCAGACTAGGAGTGGACTGTTGAGAGAGCCACGTCCCCATGGTAACTCAGTGTTTTTGTTAGCGCTTGTGAGTCAGACAAGCGGTGAGTCAACGTCAAGAGGAAACACACACACTCACATACACACACACACACACACGCGGTCACAATCATATTCACAAACTCCCTCTCGGTTTCAGAGAAGCCAAATAAGGACAGCTCCCAGAAACAGGCACATGGGCAGATCAGCGCAGAGCTAAAAACTGAATAGGCTCATTAGAGGTGAACGACATGAAGCCAGGAAATCAGGCATTGGACAAAAGTTAGAGCTCAAATGGAGTATAGTAAGATCCAGAGGGCACATGTGCGGGCACGAACCCTCCTCCCTCCAGCAGCCAGTCTATGGGTGGGGGTAGTGGAAACAAATAGAGACACACCCAAAAGAGCACACCTTGGCTTAACTCACTGAACAACACGTTTTTGTCTGACACCAAACAAATGAACTCAATGACCAACTTTTTATGTCTTTTTTTTGTTTGTTTAAGCTTGAGTATGAGTACTTAACTTTCTTTTGGTTTCATAAATACATTTTACACAGAAAGCATCTTGTTTAAGTAACATCTGTGAACACATCAGACCAAAACATTCTGTCTTATCGTAAAAGAAAACATTTATCTTTTACATACTGAGAGCTGATCTAAAGATGTGACAAAGGCCAAAAATACATGCATGTGAAACTAGTGATAGAACTGTTTTTAGAGCTTGCAACTAGTTATATGGATTTTATTGTACTTCATTTTGTGTAGTTTCAAAGTTAGGTATTCCTGCTTTAAAGTAGCAATTTGTAAGAATTTCATGTCAAGTCATGATTAAATGGCCCTTATCTGTCAAAAGGTATCAACAAAACATGCTCTTTTCAAATACTTCTTTAACTGACAACAGTAGTTCAGC